CTAGCCAGGCTCCATCCCCCACTCCTGCAGCCCCCCCACCCAGTGGAGGCCTTTATTCTATCCTCCCCATTCCAGTACAGCTCCATCCTCCAGTACCTTCCCAAACCCGTGTAGCCCCCAATACTGCAGTTCTCAATTCTGCTCCATTCCTGCACAATGATCCTCACCCAATACCGCTTCGGCCTCAAAAGTATCCCCAGATGCCATTCTCATCCCTGGCATTGCTGCCTCCCCCTTGTCTTCTCCCAAATTGCAAGTTGGACCAGGATGGAGATCATAGCTTTGGGAACTCACAGTGGGTCCTAGGGTACAGAGGGCATTTGGGGGTCGGTTGGTTTGTCTAGGTGCTCATGGGGAGGGACTGTAGGGAACTGACTCAAAGGGGAATTTGGCATTTGGTGCGGAAGGGTTACCGGAGAGGGAGGCAATCCTTAAAGGGTTAATGGAATTCGTGAGGTGGGGGCGGCAACGAGGGGGTTAATGGGGTTGCTGGCGAGGAAGCCGTGTGAATGAGCGGTCTGTGCCCCGGAGTTGCCATGGAGACGGTGAATGGGGGGATTGTGTGAACTCAGCTGCGGACTATCCCCCCCCAAATACACACCCACCCACTCCCTCCTGCCCCACCTCCCTGTTCTTACTCCTTCCTTCCCCTTCCCCTCCTCCCCTCCACTGGGGTGCGTTCTGGGCAGTGTCTAGGATCTTCCCCCCATACTTTGCTCCCTATTTCCCTACTTCCTCCAAGCCCCCACCCCTTTAGTCACTTTACCCACCCTCCCTCCTCTTTTTCTCTCTCACACACTCTCACACCACACTCTCACACTCCCTCTCTCTCCGTGTCTCTGTCTCTCTCTCTCCCTCTCTCTCCCTGTCTCTCTCTCTCCCCTCCCATAGTGGCCGGCAATTGCCGGGCGTTCCCAATTTCCCTCCCCCATCCGTTCAGCCACTTCTTAAAGGAGCAGGCCTGCAATTTCGGAGGGTGGGAGAAATGGGGGAGAACTAAATGTTCTATGGGGTGTGTGTCTGTGTGTGTGTGACATACGTGCCAACACATACATGAGCATGTGAGCATCTCTGTGTGTGTGTGTTTTGGCATGTGTGTCCATGTGGGTGCGTCCGTATAGCCTTGTGTATATGTGTTGACTGTGTAACTGTATCAGAAGGCCTGTATCTGAGCGTGTTGCTATTTCTGTTTCTGTCTCCACCTATGTGTCACCATCATGCTGCATGTGTCTGGATATTTACCTATGCGGATATGTGTGATTATATTTCAGTCTCTGTGTCTCTAAATGTATCACTCTGTGAGGCTCTGGCCATGTGAGGCACTCTGTCCCGGAATGTGGGACTACATGAGGGGGTTTCTGTGGGTTTGGAATGTTTGTCCCTATGAGTGAATATCTCAGTGTCTGTGATCCTGGCTTAGTTTCTCACAGTCTCTCTTTGAGTCTTTGTGAGTTTATTTCTATGAGTCTCTGAGTGTGTGTCCCCATACTCTTTATTTTACACCGAACTAATACACCTAATGCCTATCGCTCTAGGAGGCTGGTTTCTGCCCTCAGTTCTGGCATTTGGTGACAATTAAGGGATAGCCAGCAGAAAGGACCAAGGTTTAAGGATTGGAGAAAGGATGGCTGAGGGGAAATGTACCACAGGGGATGGGGAGAGTGAAGAACTCAAGTGAATGGTTGTGTGTCTCCTCCCTTGCCTGAGTGTGAAAGGCTCTAGGTGGGGAGAGGTTCTGCCTAAGCTTCTGCTTTTCCTTCTGATGCTTTAGCCTTCCCAAGTAAGGCTGACAAGCCTACTTTCTCCTGATGATGTGGAGGTCCTGTGTAGGATTACCAGATCCCCGGAGCTAGACGGCCCAGTGTTCACACAGTATGCCCAGTGACCCAAGCTCCCTTTCCAGCCACCACCTTCCCAAGCATGTGCTACTCTGGCTCCAGCTGATTCTGAAGAACTCCATTGGCTGTGGAGTTAAAGTTGGTTACTGAACTTGCGGTGACTAGATTTTCCAACCACGGCCAGCTACATAGGATGGTCCTGACCGGCAGTGGGCCATCTGTGAATTCCTGAAAGCTCTCCCTACTGTAGGAGAATAAGCCAAGCCCAGCAGGGGCCCAAAGATGGACTCTGTGGCCCTTCCAGACCTTCTTGGATGACATGTGCCTCCCTCTTTCCACAGGCCTGTCTGGCCCTGAGTCCCCTTTCTGAAGCGGTGGTGCTTGGACGACCTGCTCTCTACGTGGCTGGGCACTTGTTTGTGCCCTTTGAGAGCACAGTTTTGAGGTTCAAGTCAGTGTGACCATGAAGGGGCTGCCTATTGGGCTGATGCTGTGACATTGGAGTCCGCCTTTTCTGCCAGTCCCCCTGCCCGGAACATGTGGCTGCGGCTTGGCCCGCCCCCGATGTCCCTGAGCCCCACACCCACAGTTGGCTGGAGCCTGTGCCTCACCCTGTGGTTCCTCAGTTTGGTGCTGAGGGCCAGTACCCAGGCCCCAGCACCCACAGTCAATACTCACTTTGGAAAGCTAAGGGGTGCCCGGGTACCATTGCCCAGTGAGATCCTGGGGCCCGTGGACCAGTACCTGGGGGTACCCTACGCAGCTCCCCCGATCGGCGAGAAACGATTCCTGCCCCCTGAACCACCCCCATCCTGGTCGGGCATCCGGAACGCCACACACTTTCCCCCAGTGTGCCCCCAGAACATCCACACAGCTGTGCCCGAAGTCATGCTGCCAGTCTGGTTCACTGCCAACTTGGATATCGTCGCTACTTACATCCAGGAGCCCAACGAAGACTGCCTCTACCTGAATGTCTATGTACCCACAGAGGATGGTGAGTGCTGCAGCCAGGCACTGTGCCCTCCCTGCCTCCCGCCTGCCCTGTTGTGTTTGTGGCTTGCATGTGGTCGTGTGCCCTGCAGCATGCATCTCTCTGTCTGTGAAAATGCTTCTAACCATCACTCTGCTAGGCCTCCCTCCCCTCCCTGTTCTTCCCTCTCCCAGCATTGTCTGAGCTCCCATGTGTGAGTGACACTGTTGCCAGGAGGGGCCTGGCAGGCCTGCGAGCTTTGACAGGTCTAGGTCCAGTGCTGGATGGGGTTCCCCGGGGGAGTATGGGTCACTGCTGGCAGCTGCCCGCGGGAGGATGCTGGCTCCACCAGGCTCCCCTGTTGCCATTCCACCTGCTTCAAAGGTGGTAGGTGTGTGTGGCCAAGGGAGCTGGGTGTGTGGGGGGCGGGGGACAAGCCTGGTGGGCAATGCTTAGGTGCCTCCTCTTTCACTAGCTGATGCCTCCTCCCGCGGGGGTCACACTAAGGTAAGTGACAGAAACAAGGAGATGGTGGGACAGGCTCTCTGCCATGTGCCACCTGCAGAGCAGTTCAGCTCTTGGGGCCTGGGGGTGGGGGGGTGCATGCCCCTGGGCAGAGGCCTCTTGTTATTTTTTAGTTTTTTATTCATTTTACAGTAAAGCGGATTTCCAAGGAATGCGCCCGAAAGCCCAACAAGAAAATTTGTAGGAAAGGAGGTAGGTAGCAAGCCGGCGGGGAGGGAGAGAGAGAGAGAGGGAGGGCTGCCTGCCCACCTGCCCTTGCCCCTGAGGACCCAGCCTTCCTTCAAGTAGCCCAGGCTCAGGGGGCGGTGAGCAGGCATAAGGTCCACCTTAGCTGAGGGCCCTGGCTGCTTTTCAGGAAGCATTTGACAACCTAACTCAGGTTCAGAGCAGAAGCAGTAACCCTATTTTCCCCAGTCTTCTAGCTCCAAATCCCGCCCTAAAGCATGTGCCAAAGACAGAACCACTGGCTCTCAGGAGAAACTCTAGGCATCCAAGATGGAGCAGAGGCTCCCTGCTTCTATGGGTGTGGAACCACAAGATCATCTCTTCAGTTCTGTGTCCTGGGTTGAAAGTTTAGACCCAACTCTTTCTCCCCAAAGCTTAGACTAAACATGTATACAGAGTTCGTTACTCCTTACACACACACACACACACACACACACACCTCACCTCTGGCCAGAGACTTGCTGAGAGCCCCAGGTTGCTCTAGTGACAGAATTTGGAATCTCTGAGAAATATGGACTCCAACTCCAAAGGAGGCAAGTTTTTAAATTGATCCTCTTGCTGGGCATGGTGGCACACGCCTGTAATCCCAGCGCTCAGGAGGCTGGGTCAGGAGCATCACTATGAGTTCGATGCCAGCCTGGACTACATAGTGAGTTCCAGGCTAGCCTGAACTACATGGTGAGACCCTGTCTCAAAAAAAACAACCAACCAACCAAACCAACAAACAAACCCTCTTGCTGAGAGCATTCTGTTCTCCTGAATAGTTAATCTTCATATTCAAAACCGCTTTAGGCTTTCTGCAAAGCAGTCTCATATTTACCTCATAAAATACTCCCCTCATTTTGGGAAGTGAGTAAGGCAGGAAATCGGTATCCCAATTTTACAGATGAGGAAATAGAGTGACTTGCTGCTGCTCAAGGCCCCGTTGCTGGTCTGTGACAGAGCTGGGACCAAAAACCTGGGTCTCTTAACCCTCCGGACGTGTTCTTTCCACTGTAGCACAGGGAAACAACTCCCTGCTGGTCATTCCTACCTCTCCCAAGTCCAAGAAAAAAGTGGTGACTTGTGGCTGGGTTGGGCTAACTTGGAAACACTAAGACCCTAAGGAACAGCTGGACAGTCACAACCTGATCCCTGCAATCCTCTGTCAAGTTTGGAGTTTGTTTCTCTGATTTCCTAGGCAAGGTCTCTCAGAGTAGGGCTACTAGAATTCCTGAGATGGATACTCCCTACTGAATAAGAATCTCTGCGGGGGAGAGCTAGGAATCTACACATAAAACATGTGCCTTGCATGTTTTTAAAGCACACGCTGGAGCACACAGAGAGAGAGATGCAATGCTCTAAGGACTGTGTCTCAGTACCCCTCCACCCTAAGTTTGGGATTTTATACCCAGTGGGCAATCGATCAATGTTTTCCCCATGGAGGCTAAAGCATTGAGGTGCTGCAGAAAGTACAGGTCTGAGAAGCCTCACTGAGTCCCCACTCTGCTGCCAGCTCACGGTGAGACCATAGGCAAGTCTTTTCCTTGAAGAACCTCTGTTTCCCGGGGATTTAGCTCAGTGGTTCCACTGCCTGCCTTGCAAGCTCAAGGACCTGAGTTCGATCCTGGTACAAAAAACAAACAAACAAACAAACAAAAAGAACCTCTGTTTCCACGTTTGAAGGTGGAAAGAGACCATTCTGCTTTACCATTCCATCAGCCTATAAGTAAATTCAGGAAGCCTGTAATCCCAGCACTCGGGAGGCTGAGGCAGCAGGATCGCCTGGAGTTCAAGGCCAGCCTGGACTACATAGCAAGACCCTGTGTCAAAATAAATAAATAAATAAATAAATAAATAAATAGGGGCCGGGGGATTTAGCTCAGTGGTGCCACCGCCTGCCTCAGCCTGCCTTGCAAGCACAAGGAACCAAGTTCTATCCCCCGTACCAAAAATAGTAATAATAAATAAATAAATAAATTCAAGAAGAGGGTTCTTAAACCTACTCCTATGAGTTATTTAGTGGGGTGTGGTGAGAAGAGATGACATTGTTATTAGCAATTTCTTAGGAAGAATGAGTTGCCCAAGGCTCCAGTAAGTACCCAGGGCAGTCCAGTCCAGCATCCCCAAGACTCCCCAGAGAGCTAACTGGAAGCCCCCACTCAATCCAAAAGTTTACGGGTCACAACTGGGGATGACAGGCAAGGCCATGTGCTAGGGGCAGTTGGAATATGGAGGGGTGTGAGGTAGAGAAAAGATTTGAAACAATGAAAGGCCTAACCACTGCTCTGAAGAAGCTCCTTTCCTGGTATTACAACTCAGCTGCTTCCCCTTAAGCTCAATGGGCTAGTCTAGGAAGTGGGCTTCAAGAGTTTGGGGGAGGGCATTCTGTCATGTTGCTGTTCAAAGTGGTTCCCTATCTAGTCCCGGCTGGCCATTTGGAAGAGTTACAAATCATACCCCTCTGGGGAGACCCGTATCCAGAGATCCTTAGGGCCATGGTATGCGTAGGTCAGGTGGAATGGCCTGGCCTGGATCCTGCAGCAGCAAAAGGCAATGGTGTCTGGCAAGGGCCATGACAGCAAGGAGGTGCTCAGCAAGGGCCAAGCTGAAGGAGCAAAGGCACCTGTGTGAAGGAGACTGGGACAATGCAGCAACCCAGGGAACACTCAGAGAGGGGCAGAAAGGATGCATCTTCTAAGTCAGGGATGATGGAAAGCGAGTTTCCTGGGGAAGACCTGCCCCACCTCCAAACTGTCAAATTGGAGGGAATTCTCTAGGATGAGTGATTTCTTCCAGTTTGGTGGGCTGTCCACTGCGTGGGTGATGATGTCCATGTCCCTCTGGATTTCTAGGGGATTAGTGGCAGGTGTTGAGCTAACATGTTAAAGACCATAGGTGCCACCAGAAGTTCAGGAAGCTAGAGGCAGTTTCTACCATAGGGGTGGGCTCTTGCCTTTTTTTTTTTTTTTT